TAGTAGTAGTGTGTAGTGTGTGTGTAGTGTGTGTGTGCGTGTGTGTGTGTGTGTGTGTGTGTGTGTGTGTGTGTGTGTGTGTGTGTGTGTGTGTGTGTGTGTGTGTGTGTGTGTGTGTGTGTGTGTGTGTGTGTGTGTGTGTGTGTGTATAAAAAGAAAAACTTATGAAATTCGGTTAGCCATCGTGATGTTGCTCGCACCTTCTTTCATTCTCGTATATTCTGCTTCGTGCTGCCAGACGAGACCTTATTTTCACGGATCTGCGCATATGATAATGCATGCTCCCTTTTTCAAAATTATGGTCTCCAGAAGCGAGGTAGGCCAAGACGCAAACCGACAAGCATAATATGAAAGATAGAAAAGAAAGAAGGGAGAGAGAGAAAAAGAGATTATTTTATAGTTGCATTACTTGAATGGATCGATGAACTTAAAATCCTGTAGGATAAATCTCCTAGTAATAGACACAACAGTATTAGTGCAATGATTTATTTATTTTATTATAATAAAATTTAAGTTGGGATATAAAATAATATTACTTAAAATATTACACTTAATTATTATATTACTTAAAATGTCCATTAAAATGAATTAAACAAATAAAATTGTAAAATTTACTTTTATTCGCTTTCAATGCAATCAATTAAAGATCAAAGATTCTGCGTTATGTATAATTATGTATAATAGAATTATTTATAATAATTGAAGATAATAAAATTATCTTATAATAAAATTTTTATTATACCAGGGAATTAGAAACATAGATAATTATTTTGCAGTTATAATATAAATAAACAAAGTTTTCAATTTTGTTTTTGTAATATTACAATCATTTAGCATTTTATTTAACATTTAGTAAACCTATTAGTAACCCTCTGACAAAGAATGGGAAATATAACCTATCTTTATTATTTTAAAAATTATATACGTACATATGTAAAATAGATTAAATTAAAATTATAAATGTGTTAATCTATTTTTAATAGTTGCTTAATATAATATTCTCTCTCTCTCTCTCTC